GGTAGCAGTAAGTGCTGGGAAAGATGTCCATTGTCTCTATCCACTGTGCACTGCCCACCTGCTTTCTCCCTTTGCCCACAGAAGTGCCCTGGTGACCGAGGTCTCCAGGGCTGGACAGTGAGGTCCTGGCCTTTTCCCTGACATCAGATGTTCTCTGCCTCGGCCTGTGCCTGGAGCTGACCCCAGACAAAGCAACCTGCAAACTCCTGGCTGCTTTGCCAGCAGCACACACCTGCTGCAGCTGGAGTCACGCTGTCCAAGTTACTTCTTTCTACTGCTGCCTCTTTCAGCCCTGATAATTTTGATGTTTGCCAACATCATAGCTAAGGTAGCTTCTTGAGCCCGTATTTCCGCTTTTCCTATATAGAAACATCATGCTCATTTTACAGAACTTCAGCCTTTCATAAGCCCTATGACCTCACTCCAGTCAGTTGTACATTTTACAAAGCAGTTTGAAGGTGGAATAATTTTCCATTTAAAAGATTTCTGCAGCTGCTGTGCCCGTGACCTGGATACCTGCTGCATTCTCCTGAGTTTAGTAAGACCTGATCTATTGTGTTATGTTGTATTACAAGTGTTCACCAAAATACACTTGGTTCTGTTTTAGACAAAACACAGCTGTGTTTCCATGCACAGGCAAGTTGCTTCTGCTGCCAACATTAAAAAGCATCCCATGGGGTAATTGTCACAAATCAAGGAAAATGAAACAAGCAACTCTCTTCAACAACTATAAAGCAAGTTCAAGTTGTTAGACCACGGTGTTTAGCTTTTGGCATTTTTTACAGAGAAAATTTCTGGGTGTTGAATAAAGAATGGATACATGTTTTTATGTACAATTTTTAAGCCTAAAAACTATTACTTGAAAGCACTAAATATAGAATGGGATTTTGGAAATTTAGCTCCAAATTTATTTTTGATTGCCTGCATTTTAACATTTTTTTGGAACTGATTTTTAAGAACTGGAGTAGAGAACTAGGAGGACAAAAAAGTCAGCACAGACTCAGGGATGGAATGACAATGGCTCTCAAATGTATATGGGCAGATGTTCACTTCTTTTTAAATGTCAGCAAGAAGCAATAAACTTCAATTTATTGGTGACACTTCTCCACTATGGAAATCTGAATGTAGTGACAACTGTGACTTGAGGGTTACATTATTCCCAAGAATATAGAGAAAAGGGGAATAAATGATATAGATGCTTGACTTCTACATACTAACTTTATAGAAGGCGAATCAAAGGTTGGTTATGAATCATGGACTTTTTTATTTTGAATTTTGAATTGAAGTTCACATCCACCTTTAAAATGCAAATTTCTACTCCAGGAACTTGTCACAAAGAAAAATAACGGGGTATGATGGACATGACTGTTGCATCTGATCTTGTTTCACAAATATATTAAAAGAGTCAGTCTTCAAAATAGACCTGTTTTCAGTCTTGTGTTTTATAAACAAAACATGACCAAATCTGGAAAGTCTTTTTTGCAGCAAAGAAAAGGGGCCAGTGAGCTAAGGACTAAGCTGTCAGAAAATTTCTAAAAGTCAGGGTTACTCATATGCTTTAGTATAAATACACTTTAAATGGTTTCTCTTTACTGATACTGTTGTGCAGTTGAGAGCCTTGAACCTCAACTCCAGCTTCAACTTCACTATGGAAAAAAGCCTGAAAACACTCCCAAAAGGCCCCAATAGAATTTATACAGGATTTTACTAAAACTCTTCTCTGAAGAAGTTGTGTATCTTATTATTTTATTCTTGTGGAATGATAAAATGCACACAGACATCTATGTATGTATTTGTATAATCAGATGCTGGTTTTTGTGCCTCAGTTATTCAATGTAATCAAAAGTGGGACAGTATTTTTTTATTGTTTCTGAGGTGCTAATAAAATGTTCATTTTAAAATATAAATGCATTTTACTGACATTATATTCACTATATGTTTATTATACCTATATATATGCATTAAATAGGAACAAAGAGCTTAGTAGTAATTAAGTTTTTAAATCAATGCATTGGAATCCTCATTCCTGAGATAAAATTTTACCAGTGTAAGTCAAATATTTTTATTATTGGAACAACATAAAAATAACATAACCAGCCATTGGGGTGAGCAAAAAGAAGGACATCCTTGTATGTTTTTACAGTAATATCCTCTGGATTAACCCACTGAGGAGTAAATATGAAAGCCTAGACTTAGCAGGGTACATAGGTTCCCATCCCTTTTAGATATTTCTAGTATTTTCTCCATTGATTGCAATGGAAAATTTTGGAGCCAAACAAATTTTTGGAGGTGAGTTCTCTGATAAAGATGATTGTGGATTCTAGCCACAGACAGAAGAACACTGCATGCAGTTTCTTGCTCTTTCTGAAGTTCCTAGGCTATTTTAGTTTATCTTTTCACATCAAATAGTGTTCAGGAAAACAATAAAATAAATTCAATAACACTAGATTCAAGGAAATGTGTGAGGCACATGCTGAAGAGATCTCTTTTGCAAAGACATGAAATTTATTTTCTTAAAGTGCAACGCAATATTTTTACTTCTTTTTTTCCTCATAGTTTTTCAACTAGTTCCTGTATTTAACTATATATTTATTTGTACTGAATTCATAACAGCTTTTCCATCTCAACTTTCTTTTGCATGAAATTTTTGCTCAGTGTAGATAAGAAGACCGGTGGTTTAACATGTCAATACCTGTTTGGTTATGACAATCTTAAGAGCAATCATGAGTGTTTTCAGTGTGGGAACTTTCATTCATTCATGTAAAAGCTGATGCCTGCAGGTCTGAGAGAAAAGCTACAATACAGTTGTATTCTTGGGGTTTTTTCCCCCTAATGCTCAGGGTAGCCTTGTAGGAACTGTATAGGAACTTTATATTCTTAGCAGAAAATCAAAGCTTGAACCACAGAACCCTCAATTAAATATCCAAAGGAAACCAATAGTCAACTCTCCCATCCAAATCACTAATGGGATTTTCAGTTTGATTCCCGCTAAAATTGATTTTGTTTCTCTACCCACTTTTCCTGCTTACTTTTCTGCTAAGTGTTATATCCTTTGTTCTAACCTTTCAGGCTATTCTGTACAAAACATATTATTTTGCGAGAAAACAGAAGTGTGAGTGATGAGGACCAGCAGCATATCAAATGCAGGATTGCATTAGCTTCATCAAAACCAGGGCTGCACTCCAGACATCCTGGAAAATGAGTGGTGTCTGGCAACATGACATGATTCAAAAGCAAACCATCAGTCGTATTCAAAGCATTTCTTGTATCTCCTTCACCACATGAAGGAATTCATAGGCAAACACAGGCATCAGCAACACTAGGAAAATGTATAGACTTCTGTTAATTTTCACAATATGTTCAGAGACTTTCCAAAAAGTGTGTGATATCTGATGTATCCTAGAAATGTTTAACAGTGTTCTTTCTCACATCCCTTGCAGAAGTAGAGACTAGTAGATTTGCATGGTAATCAAACATGTCAACAAAATTGTAAAGAATGCACATTTCAAAATATTCCAAACCCAAGTCTTTGAGGAATCCCTACTAGCTTATTTTTGCTTGATATATTTATAAATACTTAAATTAGTTACAACAGATGTAGAAACCAGCTCAATCCAAATAGAAGTTTCTTAGATCTATATAAACTGAATTGTGCTCTCCTGTGATGTGTTCCTTCAGACTTAATGGAGCAGACCATACATTAGTTTAATTAAAATCTACATCTGCAGAAGTCGATGGCTTGCAGTCAGCTGATGGGCAGCTGCTGAGATGCTTCAATATAAGTAGCAAAAAGAAAGGTAGAAAAAAAACCCAGTCAAACTGCAGACTGAAAAACATGCAAACAAAAGCTCTCTGCCTGCAACAGCACATCTGGGCAGCTCTGTTGGTCACTGCTGCTGCCAGCTGTAGCTCACTGACTGGTAATTTGGAAACAAATGGATACAAAACCGCAGGCAAATCCCTTTCTTTCACAAGGTGTATGCGCCGGTGAGAATATTCTCACGAACTCGCATCCATGTGCTGGAGGAAGTTTCATGTTTAACCCCGTTCTGCAAGGACTGCCTTTCCAGGAGCTCCCGTTCCGGCCCCGTGCAGCGCTGCCCGCGGCTGCCCGGCTCCGAGGGGCCCGCGGGCCCCCAGCACGGATGCGCTCCTGCCGCGGCGGAGATCCTGAACGTCGTGATTTGGCAGTGAAAAGCGGCTAGACTTCCTATTCCAATTCTTTTGCTTTATGTGTGTCTGTGGTTTTTGGTTTGTTGTTTTTGGTGATTTTTTTAATAGGAAGGCGTGACAATGTCTGCTGCCTTTTGTCATTTGAGACACTCGGTGATTGATGGAGGAAACCTGTGAAGGGGGTGAGAAGAGTGAGCACAGGGGGCGCTTCGTCGGGAGAAACTCCTGCTGCCGGCTACCTGTTGAGGTGGGTTCACGCGGGCGCTTCATCATTTCTGTCTGTCCAAGCGAGTTCATTGATGCCCGGCCGGACCAGCCGAGCGCCGCCTAGCCCTGCTGGGAGACACGGCTCCCGAGCCTCCCTGGGAGCGGCGGCACCGAGCGGAGTGAAGTTTTCCGGGGAGAAGACCGGGATTCCGGCTGCCGCCCTGGGTGGGGGAACACCTACAAGCCGAAGGGTGGGAAGAAAAGGCGGGGGGAAATAAAGAGGGCAAGAAAACCCCACCTCCCCTTTCTCCGAGGACACGTTCCCGGGGAGCTCAGTCTCCCGAAGCAGCGCAGAGGCGCGGAAGCTCCGCGGGCGGGGCGGGCGCGGCCGGAGCGCCTCCCCGGCGGCGGGGGCGGCGGGCCCAGGCCCGGGGCAGAGGCGGGCGGACCGCGGCTGCGGAGGGCGGCGGGGCTGCCGCGCCGGCTCCGCTCCCGGCAGCGCAGGCTGCGCCCAGCGCGGCGGCGCCTCCGCCCTTCCCTGCCCGCCGCTGGTGGGGCGGCTGCCCCGGGCTCGCCGCGGTCCCAGGTGCCGGGAAGTTTGCACGGCGCGCAAGGGAAGGATGGAGCCAGGAGAACCCGCGGCGGCGCCCCTCAACCTGTCCCGAGCCGCGGCAGAGACGCCCCGCGGGGAGTTCAACCTGTCCGGGCTGCCGGAGGCGGAGGGGAAGCCCCTCTTCGGCATCGGCATCGAGAACTTCATCACCTTGATCGTCTTCGGTTTAATCTTCACCCTGGGGGTGCTGGGCAACACCCTGGTGATCACGGTGCTGGCGAGGAGCAAGCCAGGCAAGCGCCGAAGCACCACCAACATCTTCATCCTCAACCTGAGCATCGCCGACCTGGCCTACCTGCTCTTCTGCATCCCCTTCCAGTCCACGGTCTATGTGCTCCCCACCTGGGTGTTGGGAGCCTTCATCTGCAAGTTCATCCACTACTTCTTCACCATCTCCATGCTGGTGAGCATCTTCACGCTCTCGGCCATGTCTGTGGACCGGTACGTGGCCATCGTGCACTCCCGACGCTCCTCAGCCTTGCGCGTCCCCCGGAATGCGATGCTGGGTGTGGGGCTCATCTGGGCGCTCTCCTTCGCCATGGCCTCGCCTGTGGCTCACCACCAGCGCATCTTCCACCGTGAGACCAGCAACCAGACCTTTTGCTGGGAATTCTGGCCCAACCCACGCCACAAGAAGGTCTATGTGATTTGCACATTCATCTTCGGGTATCTGCTCCCGCTGCTGCTCATCTCCTTCTGCTACGCTAAGGTGGGGCAAGTGTAAATGATGGGAGGGACACAGTGGTGGAAAAGGTGTCCATGAGCCATAGAGCCATTTCTGGGCATGTGGAGGGACTTATCAATGTTGGGAGAAAAAGGAGCAGGGGTGAGTTTGTGCCACAAAGGGAGAGGGCAGGTTTTATAGCTGAGGAATGTCTGAGGGGTGATAACGTATGTTCAATATCACAGAGAGGTCAGAACAGGTCACTCATGGGGTGAGTGGGGAGGGGTGTTCTGGCAATTAGTGGGGTCTCCCTGACAGATTTCCTTGTAGCAGACTGCTAAGAAGCCCCGTGCTCTGCTGCTTTCTCCATCACCATAACTCTTAATTTCTTGCAGTGCTGTGTGAGGAGTTTTACTCAATAAAGTACAACAAAGCAACAAGTTGTTCATGCTTCAGATGAAGCATTGTGGTTCTTTAAAATGTACAGTGCACTTGAAAGTGACAAAAATTATCTGTTTGGTGTTAAGAGTAAAATGTGCTTTATGCTGCCTGGTCCCTGTGGTGTCATGTCTTGCCTCAGTTGAAGTCGACGAGAGAGTTACCTCTGACTTCGGCAAAGGCAGGTGGTTCCAGGGAGCAGGGCAGGAGAACCCAGGCAGGAAAAAGCAATAGTTAAGGGTGCCTGAATATGGGTATTTAAGGACATTTCTGCTTAAGCAAATTGTCACATTTTTCTGGAGTAATAATTGCAGCCTTCAGCATACGATCCTCTGCTTGCTGCTGAACAGGACCTGGAGCACCAGTTGCTACCTGCTGGTATCTTGCTGTTTCTGTGCCAGCTGCCTTCAGTTGCAGGATTTCTCCTTAGGCAGTGATTTACATTTGAGAGGATAGGATGGCTCTTGCAAATACCGACTGCTTAATTCAGTTCTTCAACTGGCAAGTTCAACAGATGTACCTGAAGTATTTAATTTGAACAAGTAATTTTATGTTCTGCTCAGTTTCATATATATTACATCAGCTTAATTGTGATGTGCAAATTGAGGCTGTAACGTTGTCCAACACTGATGAAACCAAGGCATGCAGGACGCAAAGGACAACATTTCTAAATGGCTGTTCATAGTGGAAAAAATGCAACTTGGCAAATGAAGCAGAAACACAAGTTTTTATACATAAACCAAATCCTGCTTTCCCTGAATGAATACACTGGTATTTCATCTACTGTGGTGAATATGACTGAGCTGTAGTGATAGATTGTCAGTTTGAGGAAAGTATTACACATTGCAGGGAGAACACTACAGAATGTGTGCACAGAGGGCTTTCAGCTACTAATTCTTCCCTTTTTCAGAGCCAAAGTATCTTCTGTTTCAGCATAAATGGCCTTTGAAGTCTAATTATATGAGAGAAGATTAAAAAGAAATCTTTCAAAATTAGCATAGTCCTGTACAGTGTAGGCATGAAATAAGCAAATATGCTTTACCAGAATATCTGGATAGTAAATAAAACACACTCTGTCATTACAAAGCACCTCTACAGAAGTAAATCTCTCAATATTAGTATTAATAGGTAGTTAAAAAAAAAACCAAAAAAAACAACCCTCCAAGCCAACAAAAGCAACTCTATGTGAAAAATATGCCCAAGAACAAGTTAATAAAATCAAGGCCACTTGAAATTACAATAGAATTGTGTGCTTAAACTATTGCCAGGCTCGGGTCTCACTCTGGCTTTGTGATGTGTTTTGAGCCTATGTGTGTGATCCTGCTTGCCTCGCAGTCAGGCTGGAGGAGCTGACCCGAAGGGGTGAATTTTAGAAGATAGATAGGAGATAGCTGGTATTCCCATCAGTTTACAGGCTGAAAAGTGCCGTGATTTGTACAGAGCTATCGAAGGTATTTGTACCCTGCAGCTAAAGACTCACTCCTGCCCTCTTTAGGAGCCACTGACAAACCTCCAACTGCAATATTTTGGGACAGGGAGTGCCTTCTCAGGCTGAGCAACCCCAGCTCCCTCAGCCTGTAGACATTAGGAGACATTAATCTCTGCATTAGTTTCTTATGGACTTCACTGGTTTTCATGAACTGTGGATCAGGGAGATAACGCAATCTTCTGCTGCAGTAAATTAAGACAAATGACACTTATTTCTCGATTTGAATATATTGCCTTTTCCAGACTCCTTTCAGGCAGTTCTGCCTCTTTCATAAACTAATTGCAATTGAACTTTCAGTTTTGAAAGTCTCATTTTTTAGGCACTCTAATAGGGAGCCAAGTTCTTTTTCTCTCTCATTTCACATTTATATAGTGTTAGCAGAGATTTGTATTTTTCCCATGGATAACAATGCTATTACAATGTACAAAGTGCTGAAGTAGTGCCAGGTATTTGGAAGCAGTGTCCTCCCAAAATATCTCATGGTGATACATGCTCTTCAGGCAGAGATTTATGAGATCATGCTCTGTCTTGTGTGTACAGCTACCTCTTTTCTTTCTTCCAAGTAACATTAGTTCAGTTTTAATGCAAATGTTTGATAGAGCAGTGAAAATTAAGGATACTTCCCTAGTTTTGTGAAAACAGCAGACAAGGAAGAAGGTGGAGAGTCTCCATTATCCTCTCTCTTTTAAGGAGTCGGTTTGCATTCAGCTGTTAAACACCAGACAAGCCATAAAAGGAGAGGTCCTACTGATGTACAGGGAAGATACATCTTTTTGGGAACACCGTAAAAAAGTCACAAATCCATAGAACACATGCACTTATGTTACACACATTAAAGGTCATTCTAAATCAAGTCTTTGACTTTTTATGGAAGAAGAGAGATTGCTAATTCTATGTTCTCTGTTTCCTCAGAGAAGTACTCTTGAAAGCAGGTTACTACGTCAGAGGGAGGAGCAGTGATTATGTAGTGATCAGCTGAGTCTCAGCACTGTGTACTTACCTTGTGTTCTGACTCTTTTATTGCTTATCTTTTTACTTGCTGTATTTTTGTAATGCTGACTTTTTGTATGTGTTTCATAACAGTGCCACAACATTTGCTCACTAATATCTCCTTAAAGGCTAAAGTGATAAATGATTCCCAGGCAGCTTCTAACAGTTGACATCTGCCAGAGTTGTGCAATCTTACAACTAATTTTGGGTACCTCCATTTTTCAAGGATTCACTCCTTGTAAGTCAGGCCTCTTTCAATCAAACCTTTAGGTTGGACACCTATAGTTATTAACAAACATTTCCTTTTATAGATGCATAATGTTAAAAGCTTTCTTTAAAACAAATATGTCTTGCCTTAAGAATGTTTCCATTGTTATCTATCATTCTGAACATTCTGAATTCATGTCATGTATGATTTACAGACTTGGTTAAAACTAAGCTATAAAAAGTAACCGCCTCAACATAAAATACAAGCTTATCTGGCTTTGGATATTAAATCCTAAATTTTGCTGAGCAGCAAGGGGAAAAGTTTATTAAACTTTACTGAAAGAGAAAAATAAAAGCTATGACACCTTAGTAACACACTCTTAATTGAAGGAGGATGAAGAATAGGATGACAATAGAAGTAGTGACATTACTTTAAAACATGGTTTGCAGGCAATAACACTTGAATTTCAATCAGGTTCATACTACAAAGGTGGTTCAGAATGTAACGCTTACATTATCTGTAAAACAAGAAGTTCATTCTTACTTGACAGTGACCTTGTGCAGGCTTTCCTTCTGCATGATTTTCAGTGGCTGATTTTCAGTGGGTGTGGTCAGTGGAATGCCAGACAGCAAACATGGTTTTTAACACGGTAGACTTCAAACTTTCATAATGTTTGGTAGACTTATGTGAATAGGCGCAGGTAGTTGAAGTTATTTTCTTCACTCCTGTATTAGAAAAATCTCTTTCTCAACTTGATTTGGTCAAAGTCCTCAGTCAGGGCTCTCAAGACATCTTGAATGTAGTTTCTGAAACAATGGGAAAAAAGAATAATTTTAAAAAGACTTTTAAAAGAGAAAAAAGAGAGAAAGAGAAAAAGAGAAGGAAGGAAGGAAGGAAGGAAGGAAGGAAGGAAGGAAGGAAGGAAGGAAGGAAGGAAGGAAGGAAGGAAGGAAGGAAGGAAGGAAGGAAGGAAGGAAGGAAGGAAGGAAGGAAGGAAGGAAGGAAGGAAGGAAGGAAGGAAGGAAGGAAGGAAGGAAGGAAGGAAGGAAGGAAGGAAGGAAGGAAGGAAGGAAGGAAGGAAGGAAGGAAGGAAGGAAGGAAGGAAGGAAGGAAGGAAGGAAGGAAGGTGGGTGTGTGGGTGGGTGGGTGGGTGTCATGAGTGGTAGTCTTGGGCATAGCCTGTTCCTGACTAGATCCTACAAGTCTCCTTATAGTCTCTTACACAACAACATAATTTTCTTACCACATCATCCCACCCTCATCTCCAGAAAAGAGGGAACCTGATCTCTGAAAAGCAGGTACAGGAAAGCTGGAGATGAAAATAGTAAGAGGCACATTGTAGAATTATTCAGGCTGTTAGAGGAAAAATTGATTATTCATTGGCCCAGAGAAGAGGCAATTTGAACAGGATAGTGGAGAGTGTCTTAGATTTGCCATGTAGTGTTTGTGCATAAACATGGCTCTTTTTTAATACTCCATGGCAGTCTCTGTAGGTCTTTGAGAGCTGTTCCACTGCTGTTGATAAGTAATTGCATTTTGCCTATTTCTCTTGCTGCTACTTTTCATGCCATCTGGTACAATACTATGCCAATATGTTTTCACTGCAAATACTTATTTTATGAAATGTGTATGCAATCAGAAAGAGGGAAGCTGATAAGATTCATTTGAAGGTTATAATCCAAATTGACAACAAAACCCTCCTCCATCACCTCCCACCCCCCTCAAATATGCAATTTACCTGTTTGGTCTCCTGCATCTTTCTTTGAACTGGAGAGAGATACAATGCAAAACTTTGGGCTAAAATTTTCAGAACAGAAGAAAAAAATGTTTGTTACTTTAAAAACTATTTTGCAGTTCTGATCTCTGCGAAGAGTTTATCTGACTTTAGTTTTGGGCTGTGAAGGACAATCCCTGAGTGGCACATGATGGGACTTGCAAAGGTCCAGCAGAAACAGCCCATCACTGTAAGTTATGTGAAGGGGGGTATGATAGATGAAGCAGCATTGATGGGACATGGACTTAATTGCATTCCTCCCATGCCTTTTTTTTCAGTTTTATGTTTTTCACTGACAGACTCAGCAATTCAGCTGGTCTCTACAGGGTGATTGGAGGCGAATAAAAAGTCTGTGAGCGAGACAGTCATCTCCCTGTTCTGTCTTCTTCTGGGATTCTGTCCTTTCCTTTGGGTCTGCTTCATACTGAAGAAGAAAGAAATGAAGTCAAAATGGGACTTTCCCAGGGAAAGCCCATTTATTTTTCTCCTGCTTTTTCTTAGCTCAGGTTATCCCCCAGAAGTGGCCTGGATAGTGTTTCCAAATAGGAAGTGCACGCAGGGTGAGCCCAAGGGCAGTACACAGGCTGCACAAATGAACTGCACTTACAATATTTAGTGGTTATAAGTAATTTCTTTTTTTTTTAATTGTTGTTGGTGTTTCTCTGGTATCTAAGAGTAGATACCTAAAAAATAAGTCTGCTGATGCACTCTGGATATTCATAAATACCATCTTACTTCTTTTAAATTAATATGTGTGTCTATAAAATTCAAATGCCAAAGTCTCTAGATCATCTTGACTGATGTCTGTCCTAATAGTGGTTAGCTGTGCAACCCAAAGAACACAGAGAAAATGTCACCAGATGATATGAAAGAATCTGAATTTGGACCCTTTTCCCCAACCCAAGATCTCTGCATCCTCTATCCAAGACCTTATGTGCAAATAATTATATTAAAATTTGGACCCTGCTCTTGGACGATGAGCCTTTTAGTGATGTATTTTTAAAATTGGGTTCTGAAAGATGCATGGTGAGTATCATCACATTGTTGTGAAAAGTCATGCCTCATGTGTCATGCCTCATGTGTCATCTTCCATTTTAGTATAAATTATTCTTGAAAACCTAAGCTTCTTTCAAAGATCAAATAGTGCCAGCATCTTGATTATACTAATCAAGCATCCATCTGAAGGAAACAAATTATACAGGTGACTCAGAAAAACTCTGACTCAAAACATACACTTTTCTTATGTTACACACACTAAAGGTCATTCTAAACCAAGTCTTTTGACTTTTTATGGAAGAAGAGAGATTGCTAATTCTATGTACAAGATAGATTTCCATCCATTTCCTTGTTAATTTGTGATATGTCTTTGTTATGTAATACATTTGAATATTTTAGTAAGAATTTAGTTCTGGTCTGCTTTGTTTTTGTTGGTTCACATGGGCTCACATATGTAATTCTTTTGATTTTCCTACTGTGCACGTTTGAAATGTGTAAGCTGGTTCAGTGATGTCTGTTAGTGAATCATGCAGTTGTGGAGAGCACAAGAGTACTCTAAGATACACAGGTTTGAATTTTGTTTGAATACGAATTGGGGAAATTTGATAAAGAGATGCAAATTAATCTTTTCAGGTTCTTAATCATCTGCATAAGAAGTTAAAAAACATGTCAAAGAAGTCAGAAGCATCCAAGAAAAAGGTATGTTGCATTCACTGCAAATACTCATTTGTATGTATTTTAGTTTTATGGCTAAGCTAATTTGGTACTTGTTGCTAAAGATCTAACAGAGAGAAGAAATTAAAATGAAGTATTTAATTAAATGTTCAGTGTCCCTCTGAACTTAGCAGATCAGAATCTTTTCTGATCCAGGTTTTCCATCACATTGCATCAAGCCATTACCTGAGATCCTCATATCTGGAACTTCAGAGCATCTGAAATTTAGGAACAGGGAGACAACCTGTCTTTTGTGTTAATTTTTTTTTCTTTTTTTTTTCTCACTGACATTTTCCCCTGACTTGTAAATCATGGGATTTTTAATTTTCTTTTTTTAACTGGCTGATTTTGTAATGTTTTAGTGAATGATTCCTAGGTTGTATGAAGGACCTTTAAAATGAAATTTAGTGTCCTTCCCAAGGAGTCTAATAAGAGACTTTTAGTGATTCTCCAATTCTTCTATTGATTTTCCACATAATGTTTTCTTCTCTTACATTCAAGACATGAGTTACGTACCGGATACAAATAGAATCATGAAAGGTCTTTAAAGAAGAATATAAGCTTCATGATTTAGAACAATATTTGAAAGATGCATTTAAAGAGAGAATTTGTCAGTTATAATGTGGTTGTGATTTTTGAGCAGATTTGACCACAGTGATCATTTGACTAACTTCTCATTTTATGGATGTGGAAGAAAAACCCCTTAAGCTATAGCTCTTCATTTGATCTGATCACTATTTTCATATGGGCATGGAGAGTGCCTGCAATGTAAATGAGATATACATGGACTCAACAGGGAATAAGTACTCTCTCATTTATGCATTCTCTATTTTTTTGAAAAATATCCTACTCAATAGATTTTGATTCCTAGAATTAAAAGCATTATGGCCCTGTCTCAGTAAAATACTTAAAAATACTTAACATATATACTTTTGCATTTAATGTTGTCAAGGCCAAAGGTATAGTTTTCAAGACATTTTGTACTTTGCCATCTCTCATCTAAATTCTTCTCAAACTGGAAATCTCTCTGCATTTCCTCTAACCACTAACTCTCAAAAATTGCAGATCTGACTAGGGATTAACTTTCATAGCTTCAGGATAAAGCATTTCAGATATGATCAAGACTTCTTGAATGTATCAGGTTACAGTGGCCAAAGAGAAAAAAAACGCAAAAAGCAATCCAGATATTTTTTTGCCTTAGAAGATGAGTTTCTAAACCGAAAGCCTAATTCATGTTTTTCAAAGTGACTTAGTCTTCGTTAGTGTGTTAGTATTCTCTCTAGTTACCATGTCTTTCTTCTTTTCCTTCTACTGCCTTGTGAAGAATGCATTTCAGATGAAATTATACATTTTTAGCTTTAGTCAAACATTTAGGAACATTCTAATAGCAGAATCTTAAAATAAATTTACTGCATGTGAGGAAAAAAATAATGAAAAATATTAATTTGCCTAAATTCTATTTTTCATGGGTTTTGGTCACAAAGCATCAATATTAATGTCATATATTTCAGGTGGGTTTTATTTGCTAATGAGATACCCTAAGCAAGCTCCCAGTAAGTAAAAACGAGCTGGTCTTTAGTGATACTTTGCTTGCAAGACAAAGGGATGATTTTGGAAAAGTGAGCTCTGAAGTTAGGCTTAAAAGGAATATTGGGATAAAGCAGATGTTGTGAGATTTCCTAACACAAAATTGCTTTTTCTGCAGAGATGAAATACCTTTAGTAACAGTTAAAAGAGACACATTGTCACCCTCTGCTTTCAGATGCATCTATAGACCATTGAATGTCAGTGATTTTCCTGGTTAATTTTTTTTCAGAATTTTGAGCAAACTGAAGTAAATGCCTCTTTTGAAGTAATTGTACATGTGGTATCCTGAAAATTTATTTTTACTTGGAATATTAACCCATTGAACACATCAATTAGAGAATAAACTGCTCTTAATTTATGCAGTCTTGTTAGAACACAGTCTCCTGATAAAACCTGAAAAAGAAGATATCTCTGTGGCTGTTTAAGTGGCAACTGATTTAAACTCCATAGGGCTAAGCAGAGGAATGGCTTATGAAAACAGATGCTTGCTTTAGACTAAACATGTTATATTAACTGCAGATTTAATGTCCTTTAGTTTCTATTGTGAGATTATACTGACCAACAACAGCATCTGTCATAAGTCATTTTGGCCTGTTGCCACAGAAATCAAAATGTTTTTCACATAAGTTTTTCTAAGCTAACTCATGTTCTGATTAGTTAGGTCAGTCTTAATTATTAGTGAGCATTAATCAGTTCAAGAAGTATAGACCAAGTTCAATAAACTAGCAAGAAATCTACATATTTTCTATGCTGCAATATTTATCACTCTGTGACCCCGGGTTAGTTTTGCATTCAAAGAAATTATCAGAAAAATTATGTTATAAAATGTTACTATAGAAATTATAATGGCTCATGACATAATATGCTTTGGAATTATTATTAGACTTTTATTTGGAGACTTACTTAGTTGAAAGAGGTACTTGGTAGAGGAATAGATATTAATTAGGCCACTGCAAAGCACTAACTGCTGTTTCTGAAGTAAGTAAAAGCTAGAGAAAATATTGACAGTCAAATTCCATTGTGCCCTGACAGAACACCTGCAGCACCTGAATGGTCCCTACCAACTCATTCTGGAGCTTAGAATGGGTCTAGTGAAATTGATGGTCCTCTCATAGATAGTAGAAGTGGAGTGTGGAAGCAGCACTAAGGATATTTTATGTTCCATTTTTTAATTTAGTGTGTTGGGTGGTGAACTTTAACTTCCAGATTGGTTTTGATAATGTGCAATTATCAGAAATTTCAAGCCCTTTTTTTTTTTCCACTAGTTGTATCCCAGAATGTTGTTGTATGACTCTGTGGAAATTCTGTGTTTAAAGGAGACACTTCCAAAAAGTCTGTAAGCACTTGAGCAAGCTCTAAGCTTTTCCACCAGCTGCCTTCATGCATAATAGATCTCTCTTGAAATTTTAATCAGAAATTATTGTGCATGGTACTAAAATTCATTGGATCTGGATGAGATTTCCCAAAGACCCTTGTTGTCATTATTTTACAGCAGGCTTAGGTGCACTTCAGAAAAGGCTAAGCTTTTGTGTAGGGAGTTAGGAACGTCATTCTTCACCTTGGAGGAAAGTTGTGCATTTGCTGTTTACTATGACATTTTCCAAGGCTGGGGTTCTCCTTGTGGTAATTTATTGTGCAAAATAAAGCCCATATAAATAATGGGGTGAAATCAGTAACAAATATTGCAGTGTGTTCCCTCTCAGTATACTTTTTGTTGTGGTTTCTTTCTTTTTTTTCATCCAAATAGGAGTTTTGAAGTAGGTTTCAGGCTGATTCTTTGAGTGCTCATCAGACATATGTGTTTTCCTTTCCTTGTCTCAGACAGCACAGACTGTGTTGGTGGTGGTAGTGGTTTTTGGCATCTCCTGGCTGCCTCATCACGTGATCCATCTCTGGGCTGAATTTGGAGTTTTCCCACTGACTCAAGCCTCCTTTCTCTTCAGGGTAACTGCACACTGCCTGGCTTACAGCAATTCTTCTGTGAACCCAATCATATATGCATTTCTATCTGAAAATTTTAGGAAGGCCTACAAGCAAGTCTTCAAATGCCAGATTGGTAATGAGTCACTTCTGAATGATGCTAAGGAAAATAAAAGTCGGATAGATACACCACCCTCTACCAACTGTACCCATGTGTGAATGTTGAGAAGCCCTGTATGTTGGCTCTTCCTTTATGTAAACTAAATACCAAGAAAAAGAAAAAGCACAATGAGCTTTATCCTGGGTTTATCTCGATAAAGCTAATTGGTATTTAATGTACTGAAGTTTCAGTTGTAACCAAAGTTTGTGAAACTCATATGAAAGTAACCTGGGCTGATCCTTTGCATCTTAGATAGCTTTGTCAAATAAAGCTCTTGGACTTTCATAGATATTTGAGAAAAAAAATGTTGAAATGATATGTCTGTATTCTTACTCTCTAATCATACAAAGGTACAAGAAGATGTTGATGTGGTCAGGTAACTTTGTGACATCTTACTCCGTGAAAGTGAAAAATGGATACATTTCCTGTCCTACAGACAATAAATACTGGACTGCTGTGATTTCAAAGAGGAGAGCCTTTATTTTCTCTTCAGATTGTTTTAACAATGCCTTTTTTCTTTTTAAGTAAAGTAAACCTGGGCTCTGATTTGGAGTTGGAATAAGTTGTGTACAACTTGAGGCAATTGCTTTAGAGAGGAAATGCTATTTCTATCTGTTTAGCTGGTTTTAATATGTCTTACTGAGTAAGGATTGTTTTTCCACTTCATTTTGCTGCCTTACTGTATGCACAGAACTTTTGTGTACACTATATAGGGATTTTTTATGGCCTGTGTGTAATTGTACCAAAATGAGAATTTGTGTCTAACTGAGGGAAGCTTTTCTTCATGTGCTGCATATGCATGTATATGTGTGTTTCTTAATTTCATAGGCTTTGAGATGGAGATGCAGTTTTAAAAGTGCAATGTATACATATGTTTTAAATTATTATGTTTCATAAAGAAGATCTAGACAATGCTTAAGGACCTAAAGGTAGCATTCTCTTAAAAGTCGTAGGTGGAGCTTGATATCATGCAGTTTTAAACTGGAAATATAAAGAAGGTGGCATTTATATTAATGCAAAGTGCATAAGGTAAAGGGTACAATTCTGCAAATTCTTAGATAAAATTAGTTGTTTCCACAATTTTATAACTTTATTTAAAATGTCTTTAGGTGGTAAATCGCTAAAGAAGTAATGGAAAAACACTCCTTTAAAAGCATTCCTTTAGCTGGAGTAAGACATGATTTTACCTATTTTTATTAATGACCCATAAACCCATAGAGCAAATCAAATTAAAGGCACCTCTGGACATCCTGTCAAGGCAGGGATACCCTCAGTTGTATCACTTCCCTGACTAGGCAAAATCTGAAAATTTCTAAGGATGGCAATCCAACAATATATTTGGAGCAACCTGTGCCAGTGCCTAATCACCCTCACTAAAATATTTTTCCTTATCCACAGCTGGGATTTCCCTTGAGGTATCTTGTGACCACTGCTTTCTTCCCTTTCACCGTGTACTGAAGTCTTTTCTCTAACTGACTAATGTGTAATTTTAAGATGGCCATTGAATTTCCCCTCAGCCTTCCCTTCTGGAACCATGTGCTGATCTGAGCCTCTCCTCAGGTCCCTGGCTGGATCAGTGGCCTTCCACTGCCCTTCCTCCAGTGTATCCATCCCTCTCATGACCTGAGGTGTTCAAAACTGAGGAGTGTGCTCCAGATGTGGCCTCACAAGCACTGAGCAGGGTAATTGCTTGTCTTGACCCATTGGCTGGTTCTTGCTAATACAGCCCCATATTATTATAATTTATGGCTGCAAGGGTACACTGCTGACTTTTATTTAATTACAAGCCCTCGAGTCCTTTTCTACAGATTGGCATTGAGTCCCAGTCCAAGTGTCAGGACTTGGCTTTTGGCTTTCTGTATCTTCATGCATTTGATAGCTGTTTCCTCCATGTTTCCAGCTTACCAAGGGCCCTTTGAAGGGTATGCCTGCTCTCCAGAATGCCCACCACTCCTCCAGGTTTGGTATTGTGTGTATAATTGCTGAGAGAGTCCTGAAACCTTCTCCTGGTCCTTAAAGATGCCAAATGGTGTTGGCCAGATGCTCTTTCAGATTCCTTTTCCTCTACAGACTTGCTTTAAAAAATAATAATTCAGAGTGGTGGAACTTCAACTATTGAGAGCTAGCTCACACAAAAATAGCTATGTTTATGTGTCAGTACTGTCTGCTTGGAATCAGTAAAATAATATCAAAGACATGCTATTGCATGCATGGTGTTTGTGTCCATTCTTTCATGTGAAGAGACCATTTGATGATATTTCTAGGAACAAAAAAATATAAGTGTATATACAAATATATATTTTAAAAACCTCTCAATTGGAAAAGAAGGGTTTATCCATGCAGGAAATAATTTCCTGGGCTGGGATTGAGGTTTGGAGACAGCCTAGAAAGATGTTCCCTTGAGTTTTGAGATACTCATCGCCTCAAACACTCAAATTATTAAAGCATTATCAAACTTCAGCTGAATTTACAACACTAGGTAATTCCATGGTTTTGAAAATCGTACTTTTAATTTTTAAAAATTGCTGTTACATTATTTTGAATAAAAATTGGAATGCAAACATATAATTGTATACAAAATTATAATAACAAGCTGATTTTATTTTTTCATCTGGAGAAGAATTTTTTTCCTTAATTGTACATAATTTTAAACCTTGGTGCTTGATAGTAATGGAGATACTATCTGAAATTTTTAGGATGAGGGAGTGGGAGGGAAGGGACTTCTGCAACAACTAGTTAGAAAGGTCCCACCTTGTTCCTGGTGAATGTCAGTAAAACTTCTACCTGAATTTCGGGCAAACCTTAAGAGGCAGCTGACACTCTAAAGCTCAGTTTCCTGCCTGGAAGATGTCTTTGTTGGTCTGTGTCTCTGGTGTGACTTGTCCTACTCAGCTGTGACACGAAGGTTCCAAATATAGCAGCAATGTTAATGTGTGCTCTGAACTGTGTCCAACCCTATACCCTTGGTCAGCAAGGTGTCCTGCCACAGAAATGGCTGATTGGGGTAGAAAATCAGGGAATGTATGCCAAGATCCCCTGCAACTGAGTGTTTGCTTCCAGGTTCTGAGCTTGTTGGCAGGGATTGTGGTTTCTGGTGGAAAGCAAAGCAAAAGTTGCACCTCATTGACTAGCTTAGTATGCTTTTTAAAATCTTTTCTAACCAGAAAGGTTGATTTTAATGTACATGAAGTAAAGGAAAGGAAAAAAAAACATATTTCTCTGGCTAGGCCTGAGGAAATAATCCCACTGAATTCCATCCATTGTGTGAATTTGAAAATCTTATGCTGTACAAAACAAAATGGGTACCAGGAATTTTTTCTCAGATTCTTCTCAAACTAAGGCACTGTAGTGGGCTTCTAACGAAGTTTGCATTTTATACATTACATTTTTTGCTTTGCACCACTTTTGCCTTAAAAAAATCTCATTAAAAGAGGTAAAGAAATTATTCCTCTAAGGTTCTTAGTGCCATGTTTGCCCTGCCAGATTGTGAGTAGTGTATTTGTGGTATAATACAAAAGATTACAGCAGTGCTTTTCTTCTTCTAATAAAATCTAAAATACAATTCCAAAACATGTGTGGACCCAGATGCACACTGTGCACTGTTCTATATAAATCAGATTTAGGATCCATAGCCAAAAAAACCCTAATTAAATGGCACTTGACCAACATACTGTTGAATATATGCAAACATGCAGTAAAATGAAGGAACTTGTGTAACTTTTATGCTCAGCTGTACTACTTCACAGGTAATTGCATTGTCCACTTACCACATTTTGAAGAAAGGAATCTTATTAGTTGCAAGTGAAGCTGACACTTAATTGCTGCTTCTGAGTAATTAAGCTACACTGTTCTCAGTCACAAGCATGTACTAAACATATGTAGTAATGTAATCATTCATAATTGCCTTAAATTCTTGTATCAAAAAATGTACAATTTCTTCAAAATTTTTGAATGTCTATGGTTGGTAACAAAATTTCATGCTGTAACAGATTACAAAGATATGCCCAAACTGGCTGAAAAGATATGTAAAAAAATATTATGACTGTATAAGGAGCAAACCTAAATTTTGTAGTTGACAATTTTTGAGTTATGGTCCTTTGAGCTTTATATTGCCTTTTACTTTGTGTACATGCATCTCTTCCTTCAAGCCTTAACTTTATTATTTTAATAATTGATTAGATCTCCATTTCAAAAAATAATGTCACTATCTCCAAGAGGTAAACATTAAGCTTTATATATTTAATGTTGCAGTGAAATAAATTTTGATTTAAATCCCACATTGTAGGGAAGGAAAGGGATCTTTTTATAAAATAACTCTGTGAATACATTATTTTATTATGTTATCTTCAAGGTTGCTTCACAGTGTGATGTGACACATTGAACCTAATGATATTTGTGGTATTTTGAGAAACAAGGACAGCAGAGAAAAGAACAGCAGAGAAAAGAACAGCTTGTATCTTACAGAGCTTGTGTTAGTGTTGTTTTCTGTACATGGGCAAATGTCAAAGACTAAAAAATTAAAAATTTGTGTTTGTTTCAATGTATAGTGCATGTAAAGTAGTGTGTATTTGTTCTGAGATAAATTGTACTTTGCATGAATTTTCAATGGATAGTTCCAATAGCTCTGTACCATCTCTTCTTGATTCTGTCATATGAGATAGAAACTGCTTTCCTTAAAAAATGTTTACATAATAATTAAAAACAAGAAGCATCTTCAGGAAAACTTCTAGAAAAAACAGTGTAAACATAAAACTGAATAGAGTATGATGGCTAGATGTCACTAGGTGTTGAAAATGTAACTGATTTAACAATTTCTCTGATTTTCAAGTACTTACATGGAGGAGGCATGGTCCTCCATTCTGGCTGGTAAGAAGCCTATTGAAATTTATGGAATATATTGATATTTCTTAACCAAGTGTAGTTTAAATCTCTGTAATTTATGTATGGTTAAAGAGACAGACAAAGAGAGTCAGATTCATATATTTGAATATGAGAAAAAACTATGAGTTCTTCAATGATGTGAAGTCCAAAACTATTTTATGAAAGCCTGTATGTGGCTTACTTTTGGAAGAAGAAAGCAGTCAAGTTTGTGCATATTTGTCTGTATACTTGCTTTAACATTGATCAAAGGCTATTTCAATACAGTAAAAATATCTGGTTGAGCATGAAACTAAAATATATTAAGTTTTATACCTAATGAAAACCTTTTAAGCCAAAAGTAAATGCTACTGCATGGACTTAAAATTATGTACACTTTATCAATTTTACTGTGAACTCAAGAACCCTTTGTGTATGACATTTGTAGAAATGTTGGTGCACCTTAGGCAGATACATTTACTGGATGAAGACTGAGGTCTCATTTTATAGAAGTATTTCCCTAATGGCAGCATTCTCTTCTTGGAAAACTTTGTACAATTTCCATTGCATGGTCATTCCATTCCTCTATAAACATCTAGCCACACCTAAA